GTCCTTGGGGACATTGCAAAAATTGAGTCCAAAAACAAGCCACATCACTACGTTATTTTGTCCAGACATGGGGGATACCCGGCATACTCCAGATCACCGCCGCAAAAACAGTGAAGAATTGTAAGATCACATATTATATGTAACACATCATGTGTTACATGTTACATATAATAGTATTATATATATATTTATTTATTTACATATTTTATGTAATTATGTTGTTTTCCAGACCACGGATACACACAGGGAGTTGAGGTGTTCCTATTCATGCACATGTGCTCACTGCCAGGGGAGGATGCAGCCGCCTTAGATGAAGCGCAACGAGCGCTGCACGAGGCCTTGTTGTTCTGTGATGCCTATGAAAATTGGGTGAAGGATGGTGATTTGATGGGGGTTACCTATGAAAATTGGTGATGTTATGGGTTTTACGGGTGAAAAATCGTAAGTTAGTATTTTTCATGGGAAAATCATCTATAAGCAGAGGTTTCTAGCTGGGAAAATCCCTCATCAATGGGCGATGTTCAATTACCATGTTTGATTACCAAAAGGTAATATGGGAAATATTTCTGGATGCTAATCAAAGTAATTTATTTTATCAATTTTTCTGTTTTCACCAAAAGATTGTCAGATGACTGATTTGCCCAGAAAGCCAAACTACAAAAGCCATGTCCGATGCAAAAAAAAAGATACGGCCCTGGGACAGGCAGAGCGCACCGAACAGAGATATCTCGAGGTGACTTGGGAGGATGGCCCTTTCTGAGTTTTGCTGGGCAACTCTGCACAAGCCGTTATTTAAAGTGCATTACCTGCATTTAGTAAGGGATGCTGTCTTGCAATCAACATTACTGTTGCTGAGGAGAAACGAAACTCGAACTGAACTCTACTTTTCGCATGCTTAGCCACTTTCATCCAAGCATGTCCAAGAGAATAAGAAGCATCAAGGCGTTGCCAGGTTCCAGGCATGGCCCCCCAGCTGTTTTTTTTCTCATGGGTTTTGGAACAAGAATCTCAATTGACTGATACTGGTTTGTCCATAAAAAGTGTATATACCTCAAGATTTGATGGTTGATGATCATTTTCCCATTTCAATGACCATATATTGGGTACAGCTGACGGAAGCAGACTTTCGCCATTTTTTCACGGCAACGACCACCGGACTTCGCGGCAGGTGGCACGCGAGAACCGGAAGCTACGACAAGATTTGAGCGCTTTGGAAGATGAAGGATTTTGGCAGGAGATCACTGTCACTGTCACTGCCCAAAATCGGGTTTCTGAATGTTTCTGACCAATAAAATAAAACATGAGTTCACCATCAAGAAAAAAGGTGGTAAAGCCATGGCCCGGAGAAGCATGTTTTGCTTTGTCTGGTGATTTGATGTGATTATTATGTATATAGGATGTATAGATGTCTATGGATGATTAGAATATCAATGTATATGACCGTACTACATACAGTAATGATCTGGCGGCACATTTTTCATGAGGCGTCTTGAAAGCAGCAGCACGTTGTAGCTTGCGAAGGGCGCTAAAGCTTCCACTTTCTAGATGGCTGCTGCAGTTCAGGAATCCGCTTCCGTATGACTAGACAAGTAATAGGAAATTCTGAATGAAAATGATAGGCTTAAAGACAATTCGTCTATATCTGGTTGGTGGTTTGGAACATGTTTTATTTTTCCATATATTGGGAATAATCATCCCAACTGACTTTCATATTTTTCAGAGGGGTTGAAACCACCAACTTGGGTTGGGAAGTTCATGTCAGGGATTGTGTTGCCTAGGAGATCGAGACTCTGCAGCAGCGGAACGAGCAGGAGAGCTTGTAGAGTGGTACCCAGCAAAGTCGGGAACCCATCGTATTTCGGTTGTTGTATCGATGTCCTGCTGAAAATTTTGTCTTTTTTCCGGAAATCCACCGGGGATTCTACTGAAAACCGATTGTTTCTGTTGCAGTCCACTTAAGCATATGCAAGATAATGTTGCAAGACTGCTTGGAAACTTTGACTCCTATTCTGAGCCACTTTTTTTGCGGCATGATTGACAATTTAAGGGACTATTCACCAGTCCTTCTATTTCTCGTCGTTGCGCAGGCGACAAGCTTGGTAAGAGAGAGCAAAGAGGTCTGGATTGCGGTGTTGGGCTTTGCTTTGGCATCCGGACTAATAGAAATGACCTCACATGGGGATGGATACCGACGAAAAACCATTGGATGAAGGGTGAACAGAAGGGTTGGTTTTGACCCAGTTCGCCGTATCACGTGGCCATGTCCAGGCACTGGAGAGAATGGCGCCAGCGGCAGCCATGGATGTGACTTCGTTGGTGGCACGAAAGCCAAGCGCGTAAACTTTGGAGCAGGGTCAAAGGACGCAAATCTCCACTTTCAGCAAACTTTGCCTTCGCCTATTGCAAAACCCGCTCTGCATCGCTTGTGGAAATCCTTCGGTGGTTCTGGAAAATACGTTGCATTTCTTTTGGGTGAATTCTGCTCAAGTTTCTGACCCAGGCTCGTTTGGAAGTCTTTGCTGCGCCTGCTGCTTAAGGACAAGAAAAGGTGCCGTGGCACTGGGTAGTTGATGCTCTAATCCATCTACAAAATATAACTGTGACTTTAAAAAAATGCTGGGCTAACGGATCTTCATCCCGAGAAAGATCTTGAAAGTTGCATCTATAGTTATTGACTTATCTTAGCGAGGTCCCCAATAGTTGGGCCATGCTTCAACGGGGAGTCAAGCTGCCCTGGCCTGTAGACATTGGTATGAGCCCCTTTCAGGTTTATTTTGGAGAGGTCTCAGTTTCGGTTCGGGGCTAGTTGGGCGTTAAAACACAAGAAATTTCAACAGACTCCTGATCACACAGTAAAGCCTGACTTCCTCCTGTTTTGGTTTCACCGAAAGCATATTATGCTTCACAGTTCATGTCAGAGCTACGATTTTTGAGGCAAACATGCAACACCCATGGTCCCAAATGATTTAGTGTGGTGAATCACGCACGGGCTACATAGGAATGATCCAGTTAGAAGCTTTGAATGGAACGATTCAAGCCATCATTTGTTTCAAAATGTCTAAAGGATTTAAGGGAGAATGTTCCACCACCGATGCTTCGAGTTATGATCGTGTGCTTGGTCATGAGAGGTCCAGCAGATTTGCTGAGCTGTGTGCTTTCTTCCTTGGAGGAATAGCTAATTCAAATTGCCCTGGCTACGGCCCCACAGACCCAAGCTCTGATGATTCATTGCATATAAAGAGTGTACATAGCCAAACACTAGTTCTAGATATTCACAGATATTTAGATTGGGAAGCTTCAGAGGTTTCAAATCTGATAGCGCTGGCGAATCGCAGCTTTTGGTCATGATGGACAATAAGCTATCACGCTGAGATCTTCTGAGCAGAATTTTACATCCAAGACATGGTTGTCTCTGGTTTAGCGCTTGGCGAGGTGTCTATATTGTGGTTGAAGGGTGATTAAGGGAACCAAGCAAGATCTTCCCAAGCGAAACTTCAAGATGTACTTGTATGATATTCCACAGCATGTGCCATTTACAATGGGTTCGTTGAGTCTTGGCCTTAATTCAACACTCGATCGTGAGATTTTCCACGGTCACAGCTGTAGGTCTTGCATCATTTGCCCCCAATAACGTCCTGGCTGCTGCGGCCAGCGGCAAACGTTCCCGTCGCCGGCGTTGGCTTCGGAAAAATGGAGCTACGGATGGTAGGAACATGTAGGGACTCTGGCTATTGTGTTTTTTATCTGTTGCTTCGGGAAATTTTGGAAAAGAGTCACAAGGGCACCTCAAGGAGGCACAGGGTGCTGGAAAGCCATGTCGTTTTCACAGTGGACTCATCACTTCCATTCGCATTTTTGGCTTATGCCTTAGCTTCCAAGCGACGCCTCGCAGGTTATGTATTGCTGTGATCTTCTTCTATTGGCTACAGATGGTTGGACACTTGGCCCTCACAACAACACGTGAGAGGATCCACGTAAACGGCAGAAAGTGTAAAGACAATGTAACAATGTACAAACAGACTTCATGATTCCCTTCTCAGTTTCTATAAACAAACCGCAAATAACAACATACCCCAAAGAAGTTTTTCCATGTACGGCAGATCATGCGCTTTCAAAGTGGTTACCTGCACCTCTTGAAAACTCCCATGTTGTGATTGTTGTAGGTTCTTTTGGGTTTTCAGGCAAGCAAGTTCGAGGCCATGAACCCAGGCGCAAGTTGAAACTGCGGTGGGGTGGATGGGATCATTTTCCTGTTGCAACATATGGATCATAGAAAGTAGGATTGGCAAAATCATAATTTGATTTGGGATGGAGATTTTGTGTCTTTCAGCTTTGGAAATTGGATGCTGGCTGTTTCCCAGGTAGAAGGCTTTACTCTGACATCAGTTGCACCGGGTTTGCTGGTCACCTTCAAGATGCAGGCGGGATGGGATATCAGAGCTTGCTGGTCACCTTCAAGTCAGCTGCTGAAGTTCAGCGGGTTATTGGTGCTGGGCCCCTCTTTGAGAACATCATTAGGTGAGGGCCTAGGCAAGGTGACAGGCCAACTCCGGGAACCTGCAAAGTGCTGCAAAGTGCTCTTTCAAAATACTGTGCCAAAATCTTTCAGAAGAACAGGTACCCCTTTTTTATACTGGCATTTTCTGATTTGCAGATGCTGTCTTGACATTTTTGAGACCTTCATTCAAGTCTGAACTCATGAGATGGTGCTGGATATCCTTGATGCTGGTTCTCTTACTTGTCGTGGCTCGAAGTTGCGGCAGCGCGGGTGACATTTGAAAAACATGTGGCATGGCCAAAACAGTAAATGGCGCAATTTTTTTGGGTTCATCACTGCATAGAAACTCATATACCAAGTGTGTTCGGACTTCCATTACGAGATGGGATGACCATATAAATTCAATGCAGTTTTATGTAGAGCTTCATCCAGCAGGCATGGGCCTTTTGTTCCACACCTCAGTGTCAGATATCTACGACATTGGTGGGGTATCATCGGGTCCATGGATGCAGGGAAAGAAAGCAACCATGATGAGGGAAGCGTTCTCCAAGCACAATCCAATGCGTCCTGCAAGCCTGATTCACCGGAGTCAACCTCAAGCGTCAATTCGACGTGTTCGATCACTCCGCCGCCGAGATCTCTCAAAACACCCCCGAAGTATTCCCCAGAACAAATGCCCCAGCCCCAGGAAAGCAAATCAACAGCAAGAAGTGTGTTGAACAGTGACCAGAAGGGTGGCAAACTGGACCAGGAAAGGTCTTGTCCCACTTGCAGGACAGCTGGGAACCGAAGCCGGAGACAGCGCAGGAACCGAAGCCAGAGCCGGACCGGGGGCAGAAGTCGGAACCGGAGACGGACCAGGAGCCGCCGGAGCCGAAGCAGAAGTGGGAGACGGACCAGGAGCCAAAACCGGAGCCAGCGGAGACGGAGCGGCCGAAGCAGCAGAAGCCGCAGCCGGAGACGGACCAGGAGCCAAAACCGGAGCCGGCGGAGACGGAGCGGCCGAAGCAGCAGAAGCCGCAGCCGGAGACGGACCAGGAGCCAAAACCGGAGCCGGCGGAGACGGAGCGGCCGAAGCAGCAGAAGCCGGAGCCGGAGACGGACCAGGAGCCAAAACCGGAGCCGGCGGAGACGGGGCGGCCAAAGCAGCAGAAATCGGAGCCGGAGACGGACCAGGAGCCAAAACCGGAGCTCGTATTGCGAAAAAGGTGAGATTCGGCAGCTTGTCTCCCAGCTTGTCTCCCAGCTTGTCTCTCCCAAGTCTCCCAGCTAAAATTATCGCATGCCGAAAATTGCGCAGACTCTAAAGTTCAGAGAGCTCCGGGATTGAGAATGATGTCATCTTTCACTTTCATCCTTCGATGTTTTCAACACATCCAATTTGACAGCCCTATGATTCGAGCGTTTGGATCCAAATAGTTGCACCCCCATCGGATGTTTCCTTCATCGTTTTTGGCATCTAGCGTTGCAACAAAGCAAACGAAACCGAACAAAATAAACGTATATAAAGTGGTCTCAGGCACTACTTGCAGACATTTTTTCACCAGTCCTGTCGCTGCTATTTCATGTGTGTGACCCTGTTCCCCAAATCACTTCTTGAATCTACCCACTGTTTGGGGTCTACGGTGGTTTAATAAAGACATCTATTTGTCATGTTTCCTCTTTTCATCTCATCTTTCTTCCAGTTGTGTTTCCAGGGTTTCCTTCCTCACCGTAAATTTAATGCGGCCAAGGCCTTCCCGTCTCGCCGCACGTCAGCCGTCCTGGTCTCCAACACGCGGCAGACTTTATGGCTTCAATTTGGCGAAGTATGGTGAGCAGTTCAAGGTGGCGCTCAAGGAGTTCGTGGAGTGATTGACTCAGTCACAAGCAATGCAACGATCACACGAGCATGAAATCAGTTGTCAATAGTAGGAAAACAGTAGGAAAGGAACATGTCTCAGCCTCAGCCAGCGCGCTTGCACTGAGGCGCGTGTCTAACGAGCATACCAGTATCGTCGAACAGCCAAAATTCCATACGGTGAAGGATGCGGAGGGCAACTTTCAAAGCACTTTGAAACTGAACGACAAGACACTTCTCCTCCTACCCGACCTTCGGGAGAAAACGGAATTCGAAGGAGAGAAGTGTGCATCCAAGAAGGAAGCAGACAACTCTGCAGCCAAGGCGTTCTGGGACGATCCTCGTGTATTGGAGATAGCTAGAACACTGAAACCTTCAAGGAAGGCTCAGAAAATCAGAGAGCACTTTGACTTTGTCAAGTGCAAGGAACAGCGCGAAGCGAAACGCAAAGCGCCTCAAGGCGACGGTTCGCTAGAAAAAGGTGGGGTGTGTCTAGGGTCTACAATTTGTTGGTTCCACAGTTCAACCCATTGAATTTTATGGTAGGCGCTCCATGGCTCATCCTCCAAAATGAAGATACTTTTCATTGGATAGTCGTCGTCGTGCAGAAATTGAGTGCTTGGTCTGGGAATCAAATCGATTGTTTGAAGCCTTTGTCACCGACCGCTTGATTACTAATGTGGAACTATCAAATCCTTTTTGGCTGTGCCCAGGGTTGGCAGAGCTGAGAAGTCGGCAAAGTCATTGAAGAGTAGCCCAGGAGTGGAAAGGCGGGACAAAGACCGAAGGCATTTTCCATGATTGGGGCAGGGTTGGTGCATCCGTGAGTTGCTGTTGTTGCTGTTGTTGCTGTTGTTGCTGTTGCTGTTGCTGTTGCTGTTGCTAATGCTGCTGTTGCTGCTGTTGCTGCTGGTGTTGTTGGTGTTGTTGTTGTTGTTGTTGACAACCTCTCTGCCCTGACGCGCTCCCCCTTGCGCCTGCCGGGGTCGGCGGATTTTTCTTGCAATACACCAGTTGACTGCAGTTTGTGTTGTAAAGCGGCATGATGGAACATAAAGAAAAACCAAAATCAGTCCTTTCCTTCTTCTCCTGAGATCCAAGTATCTTGCATCGAATAGCGTGGCCTTGCTGCACTGCTTGGAAAGTGCGTTGACCTGGAAGGCCCAAGGTCGCAGAAAGAAGTGCTGGGGGCAGGCTCCGCTTTGTAATCTCAATTTCTTGCCGAGAATGGAGGTGGAGATAAAGTCATGTTAGTCACGTCTTTGATCCAGCAGGAGCAGCACTGGGTATGGCCCAGTGGCTCCTGCCTTCACAATGAACGACAGATCTTCCATGAGCAAGGCAGGTGATGGAGAGCCACTTCAAATACATGATGTAATGTATAGGCAATGGAGCTCTGAACGCCGGTAGAAGAGTTTAAATCAGACCCTGCCAAGAACTATCCTGGTAGCAGCAACGATTCTTTCTTTTTGTGGAACATGCGAAAACACAGAAGACCTACTGTAGTCTCTTCCACAAGTGATTTCCCTTTCAAATCCAGGAAGTTCAAGAGAGAGAGGGAGAGAGAGAGAGAGAGAGAGAGGAGGGATTGCTGCAACCACCAGAAGGGCGTGTCAGGAGGCAGCCTTGACTGCATGGAGTTTTGTGCTGATCTTAGTTTTGTTTCAAATCAAAGTGAAAAGACCATGCCCGGTCAGCATTTTTTAAGTCAACTTACTCGGGCTGGACTGTTTCACCTCAATCCCTGGACAGGACACTTCAAAGTCACCGGTTAAAACGGTTACCTTCAAGAAACTCCCGCAGACCTTGAGGATGGCGACAAATTTCTATATGAAAACTGCAACTGCAACAGATGAGTCGCTTGAGTCACTGTCTTCAGAGTGGAATTCGAATTATTTTCCTCAGATGTCCTCATGCATAGCTCATGCCAAACGAGGACATTTGACCCTGACATCACCCACCAGCAGATCGAATGGGTGCTTTGGGAAGGCATGCGTTAGATGCTTCTTTATGTTTCTTTCTGCAAAGCAGCTGAGCATTGTCATCTTCACTTCTTGTCAGGAAGATTCGACAGGAAGCACCGCGGTCACCTTTGACGAAGTGTGGGCAAACCTCAAGGCAGATTGGCACAATGCTAAACAGAAGGTCGAAACTGAGACTTGCACAATCTGTTTATCCAGAGCATCCAGAGTGTCCCTCATGATTTGGAGGAGCTGTGCATAGCTATGCCCATAGCTATGCTCGTACTGTAGCTATGCCATCGATACACAACTGATATCAACTTATTGCTGATAAGAAGATCTGCCCTGGGCGCAGGATGGAGACCTTGAGGGACTTGACATCGATCCGTTGGAGCAGTCCTTTGCACGCTTGGCTGATGAAGGGCAAGAGTACTTGGACCCGAAGAAGGCAGCAAATAGTGAGAGCATGCCGATTGTCACATGTCGTTTGAACTCTTTTTGGTCGTTGAGCATGCAATTCTGGAACCGAGTTCCTGAGTCTTAGATATCCGAGGGATCAAACGGATTCAAAAGGTATGAGACGATTCAGAAACTTCCTATATCATCAAATATAATCTATGTCTATATCGTCCTATCTTATTGGACGATACACACGGTACACCCGACAAATTCCCCACCGACCTGTGTTGACTGACAGAAAATACCGAAACTTGATCGTTCCCTGATCGTTGCATATAGTTGTTTTTCAACTCACTGGTGCAAGCACTGCAGATCGGGACAGCCTTGCAAACTTCCGGCATCCACGGTGTGACAGATGATATCATGGGAAAGTGTACTAGGAGGACACGCTGGCAAAGCTTGTGTGTTTTGCACTGCTTCAAAATCGTTGGTTTCGTGCTTGTACGACATATTGATATGGTACATGCATACACTTTTCGGATTGTTGGAGTCTTCCTATGTGTCACTCTTTCCTCCTACACCCGCTGTAGAAGCTACCTAAAGACAAAGAATAAACCTGTAAAGGCGAAAACAGAAAAGCTTCTTATATTCCTTGACGTGGCTGGTTGAATTGCTTATCTCAGCTTTGAGCAGTCTTAGTACTAGTATGGCAGGATACGAAAACTCGCTCATGAAAATGTCAGGCTATGTTGGAGATTATCAGTGGACGTGCGGTGATGTAGCGGAAGTGAAACGCAGAATGCGCATTGAGCATGCATGGATTGCGCAATCATAGCTCCATACCGTGCCAGGGAGGTGCATAGTGTAGACGACCTATGTGAACGAACTGACTTGTTATAAAATGTTATGTATACTGTATATAACGCCCTGTAAGTGGGCATGAGGGGTGCACCAGCCACGCTTAATGCAAACGCGGCAGAATTTGTAACAGAACTTTTGTGAGAGATGCCCGGAGCAAAAAGAAAGACGATATTGACTTCCGTGACTACAGGACCGCTTCCAAAACGTAGAAGCTGTAGAAGTGAATTACGTAAGAAGGCCAACCTGAACAAGCATAGTTGAATTTTGGTGAATTCATTCGTGAATCTGTGCATAGTTCAGAGATGTTCAGAGCAGGTAGTGCTGGTGAAGCTCTGTGACTCTTGATACCATTTCATAGGTACAATTTCATAGGCAGTAAGATCGGCAGATTGAAATATGGCAGGAAATTCTGAATTTAGACCGCAAGTTTTCCAATCTTGAAATGAACCCAGGAGATTATTCTCAATGACAGAAGGCCAACTTTTCTCAGTTTTTCTTGCAGATTCATTCCGAATTTTGTTCGGCTGGGGTCCCGAACTGCAGGCGTTCAGGAAACCCGTCTCTGACGTCTCTGATTGTGACCACCACGAGTGGGTCCAAAGTGTTTCACGGCCCTGCAGGTCTCACAGCCCTCCAAAATAGGAGCAGAGCGATGCAAAAACTCTCCTTAAAAGCATTAAGTTGCGTTCGCATCATCGCATCTTTCAGCTTTGCTTACACAAAGTTATTTATGTTTGCGTTTGACGCTTGGCATTCACGGATTATTCAGGAGCCAGGGTCTGTCGAAATATCGGAATGGCTATAGCTTCTTTCGCACCCAGTATGCCATTGTTTTGGCTCAGTGACTGGACAAAGTGAGACATTTGGAGCTTCATAGTAGCTGCCTGAGATCTGACAGCACTTGATATGGAAGTCAAGGACTGGAGGCCGGGTCATATTTGGAACAGCAGTTCCGACATGTTGACTGCAGAGAAATAAGGCTTGAGAGAGAGGTTCCAGTTCATGTGATCCACTTGCCATATGCACCTTGGTCGTTTGAATGCGGTTATCAAGCCTGACTGGCCAGATGTTTCCCTGAAATATAGATGGGGAAGTTTCAGTTGCTATGTCACGAAAGCTAGCGTCAGCTAGCTGGAGTCTTCTTGCTTTAGCAAGTATTCCGGGGGCTGCTCAAGGACATCACGTGATTTTTCACGCGAAAGGGGGGGACCCCCCACCACCACCACCATCATCATCATCATCTTCTTCTTCTTCATCGTCATCAACATCGTCATCCTCATCATCATCACCATCACCATCACCACCACCACCACCACCATCATCATCATCATCATCGTCATCCTCATCGTCATCATCATCATCATCATCATCATTGCCATCGTCCTCGCCATCGTCCTCGTCATCGTCTTCATCATCATCATCATCGTCCTCGTCCTTGTCCTCGTCATCGTCATCGTCCTCGTCATGGTCATCGTCATCGTCGTCATCCTCATCATCATCGTCATCATCATCATCATCATCGTTATTCACTTACATTTCATCTTTATTGGCACTTGTTGGCATTATCACGAAAGGTAGCGTCAGCTCGCTAGAGTCTTCTTGCTTTAGCAAGTTTTCCGGGGCTCCCCAAGGACATCACGTGATTTTTCACGCGAAAGGCCCCCCCCCTGCCCCCTCCCCCATATATATCATTGTTATATATCATATATCATATATCATATATCATTGTTGCATCCTCGTTGGGACGAACAATGCCGCGACACGATGATGACAGTCCCTCCGCAACTCACCTCTTCCCTTCCTTCTTTCTCCTACCCCGCTAGCTTTCGTCATCCACCCCCGGCCTCAAGTTTGTTTACTGAAGGGAGGGGCCAGGGGCAGAAGATTGAGTTACATGGCTTTTTTGTGCACATCCTACATAAAATCAATCCAGATATGAACAGGTTGCACTTTTAAGCACATACTTTTCACCCAACTATGTGCTCAAATTTCCATACATCAATACGGTTAGGTTTTTATTCAGAAGTGCTTGGATATAAGCTATTTCCATGAGTCACCTTGTGAATTATGTTGTTCTTGTGAAACTGTGCCATACAGTGGGATGGTACAGGGATGATTTTTGAAGGTGGGATGTGTGGTTAGTATAGCTGGGCTCATCACCCTATGCATCAAGGAGACACGGATATTAATCAATTAACCGTTCAACCTCAACAATCGCCATCCAACTCGAAAACCCCAATTTTCTGGGCCTCGGATCTTCAGTAGTTTTTATGGATAGATTCACAGAATTGATGTTGCCACATTTAGCGAAATGTGGCGAAGTAAGTGGGATTTATCCCAATACATCCCAGTATATCAATAGTTTGAATCCAAGTGGTTTGCGGGGTTACGATCCACGAATCCACGATCACCACTTCGCTACTTTGTGTATCTAAGGGGAGGTTCCCACCCAAAGGTCCGCTCTCTTCATCCTGTGAAAAGTTGATGAGAAACACTTGTAATTTGCTAAGAATATACATCGATAGATCACAAATGGGAGTTTTTACCAGGTTTTTCCCACCTGACTTATATGATAATAATATGATATAAGTAAATACATCAGAGTCATGAGGAACCTTGACACTGGTTTCCAGTAATGTCTCAGGCATCCTCTTGGTCGTATTGACCCAACGGTGAGAAATGTGAAACCACAAGTGCCAATTTACTTGGCCACTTGTGGTTGTGTTGGCAAAGAGGTCTCACGTGCGACAATTCTTTCCGCGTACATTATTGAAGATAAACACATGGACTCTTATCATCAAAGGTCCCTTGAGGATAAGAGTCCATGTTTTTTTAAGTCTGTAATAGAACCATTTAGGTTAACCACGAACATTGTTTTTGTTTTTGGCTAAAATGGGTTGTTTAGATGGGTTTTATGTGGGTAAAGTGGGTGAACTCCCTGATTTTTGATGATTTTTGTATGATTTTTGATGGTTCCATCTGAGTTTTTAATGATCAAAGGAAGTTTAGGGGGAGAAACTTCCGTGTTACGGACTTTTAGACTGTCAGGGAAAGAGTTAGTCAAAGAAAGAGTTAGCAAAGAAAGAGTTCGTCAGGGAAAGAGTTAGTCAAAGAAAGAGTTAGTGAGGGAAAGAGTTAGTCAAAGAAAGAGTTAGTCAAAGAAAAAGTTGGTCAAAGAAAGAGGTAGTGAGGGAAAGAGGTAGTCAAAGAAAGAGTTAGTCAAAGAAAGAGTTAGTCAAAGAAAGAGTTAGCAAAGTTAAATATCTTAATGTAAAAACACATACAAAACATGGATCATCCTGATGGTGGGGGCTTGTAAAAGGTCGGCAATGTTTCAATTTGCCACAGAAGGGTTCCCTTGTTCCTCGATCACTGGCTTCAAAAGGGGATTCTTCTAGATATTTCTTGATATTTCGAGATTCTCCATGGACTACGGCCATCGTTTGAATCCCTCAAAAACATCAAACGACGTGTCTTTTTTGGACCACTGGTTTCGTGGAATGCCCGTGGACCCCACGGTCGCCATGGCTCCGATGGCTGGGACCCTGGGAAGCGCTGCGAAGTGACTGGGCGACGGGTATTCGCTCCTTATGGACGGGTGGTCCATGGAGGTTGTAGGACCAGTGGTCTTGGGCCACAAATATTGGGTGAATGGTTTCAGGGTACGTTTTTCATACAGGGATACCCGCTAGTAATCTACACATGGTTGGACACATAATTACAATGTGGAAATATCAGTTTACACGTTTGAACTTGATTGGAGCGAAAAACTTATCTTTGCAGTTGGAGGGGAAACAGTGGGCTTCAGGAGCAGCCGCAGATGTAAAAATCTGGACAACTAACAATTTTCGATTAATTTCTCCTGTACAAACAAACAGCGAATGCAAAAAATCAAAATTAGTTTTCAATGGATTTAGCTTGCCTGGTTTCTGTACCGGATGGATTCGGAAGGTGTTAGCCAATACTAGGAGAGCAAGTTATGGATGTCCATTGGTCACTGGGAACTAAGAAACACTACAAGGAATCCGGAATTCCAATTATGGGTAAATGATAGCCACAAGGAGGGGAAATTGGTCATTTTACCTTTATGTTTACCCAATCTACCCATCCACAATATTTGATGCTCATGAGATTTTATTGCCAAGTTTCAAAGTCAGAGCGGACAATCTACCCTCGTCATTGAGCAAAATGGCTGGTGAGTGACGATCCAGACATGTTACGTCCACACATTTCACAGACCAACCCATTGAATATATATTGAATCCCATTGATATTTGGTTGTGGGCCATTCTTGTACCAGCAGAACTCACAGCTATCACAACTTACATATTCCGATTCTTGGCATTAAACCACTTCATGATTCATGGTTATGTGATCCAATTCCTGGGTATGTTTTTTTGGTGCATTTCTTCAATGGATGAGCGGCTTCGGATTGGTGGCTTGTGCTTGTTCTGTGGTGGACTTGCGAATCATGCTTGGTGAACACTTGCGAGGAAGTCAAGTGAGTTTATATTTGGGTGGGAAAAGAACGGAAAAGACCCAAGTTTATCCAAGCTTTAGATAGTTTTATTGCGTGTTACATTACTCGTATTTACCATCCTTCGAATCCTTCCTGCTTACATCGTTTGGGAATGTTTGTGGAACAGTTGGGTAAACTGCCGTTGTATCTCGACCGGTTGGGTAGTGATGAAAACTCATTGTCTGATTTGCGGGCAAAAGCATGGGGTCGCATACCTTGTGTCCCACTAACGTTGTTCCACCTTCAGCTGGGGTCAACAAAACCACCGTGTTCTCTCACTGAAGTCCCATGAAATCCAATGAATATCATTGGCCTGAATCAAATCCACCAAAGAAAACGGCAACTCCCTCTCCGCTCTCCTCAACGTCCCGTGAATCCCCTGGATGTCGCGGTTGAGGTTGGCATTTGTGCTGCCGACTTTGGGGACGTCTCCTGGACAACATTTCGCTGGGACACCAAGATGGGATCCGATCCACGTGGTGCTGATGTGAGCTTGGAGATGAATGTGACAAAATCTGAAAAAAAGTTGGATACGATGTCGATAGCAAGCAAATCGGCTGGTATTGCATGTAGGAGCAAGAAAGTGTGTTTGAAGCGATCGCAAAAGGTTGTCCATGTAGGAGATGGATGATGGTTGAACTTGTACTCGAGGCGGCCATGGCACCGAAAGTGGATGTATCCTCAATGGATGTACCCTTAAAAAACCAGGGCTTGCAGACAACGAGTAAAGGAGGCTAGCTAAAGCTTGTGCCCGTGCCTGAACTCGCATCATATTATGGTGTTTATATAAAGATTTCAAAAGTTTGTCATCATGGTGTTTTTGTTATTATCGTGTAGTTGAATGGAAAAACAATTAGGTATTGAAACATACAAAAACTTCAGCCACAAACTCAGAGAGTTCATGTCAGTTGGGGTTGTAGTCCAACTCATTGAGTCATCCCGGAAGTGGTGCTGGGGCTGAAATACACAACTCACAGATCATGGTGATGATGATGATGATGGTGATGGTGTTGGTGATGATGTTTGTGATGATGGTGCTGGTGATGATGGTGGTGGTGATGATGTTTGTGATAATCAGCACTATAGCGACAATATATTGAAACTACAACAACAATTATGATTTGCCTATGTCATTTTAATATGCCTGTGAGAGTCGCCAGGCTGGGTATCCAACGTGCATGGCCGGCATTTTTGCTATTTCTCTAACGACGAAACTGATTAAACCGAACACCCTAAACTTCAGAACCCCTAAATCTCTCCCTATAAGTCTCTATTTCTCTCTCTCTCTCTCTCTCTCTTTCTCTCTATATATATATATATACACACCAATATGATGTACTGCATCCTCACTGTTTAAGTCTGTGCAAACGAGTGAGGTTAGCCATGTTTTCGGACAAAAAGGAAGTTGAATACCTAAAACCGAACATGTTTGGAAACCAAACAATCCAAAGGAAAAAATGAATGCCTTCCCAACCAACACACACACATACACACACTTGCTCAGAAACGTCTTATCGAATTGTTGATGTGGAATGCATCGGACGTGCAAAGACAACCCAGTAAAACCTAACAGAAGAAATGAAAAAAATATATATATAAATATATGGGACTCCGGTGGCCACCAGCTGCGACTTATAATTGCGCCCAGGTGCACCACCGGAGTCCCGCAGGTACGTTTACACGGGTCCCGGGGAGGTGTCTTCGTTGGTCACCGACCCCCCCCGGGACCCCGGTGACCCCCTGCAAGATAAGAAGTTTTACATCTATTCAGATGGTACACACACACACACACGCCCCACCGCGGCGGGGCAGATGAAATGAAAATGAAAGTGAGATGACAATGAAAATGAAATGAGCAATACCTAACCAGGACGCGAAGAGGGGAACGCAAAAGAAGAGGGACAGAGAGAACACCAACACGACACACCTGGCCCGAAACGGGCAAACCCTGAAAAGGCAAGGGAAAAGAAAAGCGGAGGCCGACGGACAACGGAACAAGACCAGCGGAGGGGGGGGAAGGACGGAAGCGCCTGAACCAACCTAACACGGCGAAAACCTACGCCTACCTCGGCACGCGCAGGACCCAACCTACCTGGAGAGAGGAGAACGCAGGAACACATGAAAAAAGGGACCCATGGGGAACTAGTTAATGAAATGATGCAACCACAACGCATGCAGTATTCGTGATAAGGCTCAAAGGCCCTCGGCTTTCAAGTCACAACCCTCTGGACGGCTTACGTGTTCAACCCCTGAATTACGTGCACAATTGAACCTCACCAACGACCATCAAAAGAAAGAAAAACCACACCTAAAGCATGTCCTGACGCCTCCACATGGAACCATGTCATGATGCATCTTGTCTGTCAAGCTCTCGAGCAACGTTGAAAAAACGGATGTTAACGTGGCTTCCAACTATGCAATTCAGTGAAAAAGAAAAGAGGCCCAGTACAGCGGCCAGCTGTTCAACACACACTTCACGACCGACGTGTGAGACCTGACAAAAGGCTGGCTGTTCACTTTACTTAAACGAATTACTAATTCAAAAATGTAAATTCAGACATCGTTTTACTGTCAATTGTTAGCCTGGAAAGGCTTTCCACGAAGGGTTCCTGCCAACTTGACGTAAACAGCAGGAATGACACACTTGCTCAGAAACGTCTTATCGAATTGTTGATGTGGAATGCATCGGACGTGCAAAGACAACCCAGTAAAACCTAACAGAAGAAATGAAAAAATATATATATAAATATATGGGACTCCGGTGGCCACCAGCTGCGACTTATAATTGCGCCCAGGTGCACCACCGGAGTCCCGCAGGTACGTTTACACGGGTCCCGGGGAGGTGTCTTCGTTGGTCGATAAGAAGTTTTACATCTATTCAGATGGTACACACACACACCGCTCAAGGCAGAAACTCAAACATTGCACATTGTCACATATTATAAAACTCTGTTTTGCCCCTTTGTGATATTTGGGCTAGAATAGGTTCAAGGGAACATTGGCGCGAAGGACTGTACATAGTATTCCGTGTCTCGATCAAAAATCCTGCGCATGTCCTTCAATGTTCCCCTCAGCGCCGTCGCTTTTTGAATGTTTGCTGTATGTTTTATTTGAATTGATTTCCATTCCTACCTGGGATAAAATGATGATCTCTCCTCATCAACGAATTTTTCAGAGATGAACTGTTTAGTTAAGAAATTTGAATTTCCAGGCATGTTGCTTGATTTGTTCAAATTCCTTCAATGGCTCTTGAGAATAAAGAAACTGCAATAAAACCATGCCAACAAAAAAACAGATGGTTTCACAGGTTCAAAAGACGACCCACCTTTTGTGGATGTTGAAGTGAGGTCTCCGGGCAGGAAGATCGGACCAGTTTGAGGCCCTCGGGACATCTCGGGACCAGTGATAGGTAAACCAACTGCTGATATTGGTGATTCGGGTTCGAGGAGCGAAAAGAATCCCCTGCAGCAACCCTGAAAAAGATGGAAAAGTGGGATAGTTTACCAGAAAATAATCAAATAGGTACTAAATATCATTTTAAATCATCTATAACCACAAGGAAACACGTTTCTATCCTTTTGGGATGGCTACCTATGATTAAACAGCTCCATTTTATGGGTCCAAAATATCCAAATACGTGATTTCATCCCATACAAGACAATGGTTCTTGGGGGGAAGGGATTGATCAAATTCATTATCACTATGGGGATATCACCGCAATATGGGGTTGTGTCTCGTAGACAAATGCTGTACACTGTATATGATAACACTCATATTTAATGCGGTGATATCCCCATAATGGCGAAACAGTTTAATGGGGTTGCAATATTTAATGGTTTTGCAATTTTTAATGGGGAAACACAAACTTGCATCTGAGTCTTTTGCAGGTTCTCTAAGATTGGCCGGCAATATTCAGCAAAGATACGGGGAGCATTGGCAGCATCGCACCATATGAAGGGAAAACTGTCCACAGCAAATGAATAGAAGGTGACAAAAGCAACCAAATTATACATATACATATACATATATATATATACCACACATGAGCCGGGGTGTACCACAGTTGTGCAGATGTAGGATGATTCTTGTTGTATGTTCACTGACAGCCCATCTGGCACGTGCCAGAAACATGTTTGTAATCACGAAAGGTAGCTCCAGTGGGGGTTTGCACAAACGATGTCGGAGGGGAAAACAATTTTGTTTCACACATGAATGCTACTCCTGTCAACTAGGTAAACATATTGGCGTGTCTGATTGGAAAATGGTCATTTAATCGGATAAACGATACAAAAAGTATGAAACCACCAACCATGGTTTTAGGTCAAATGCGAGAAATGAGCTTGATGGTGGTTCCAGCTCAGAATCAGCAACCCCCAAGTTGGATCACATGCTCGAAATGACAGATCCTGTGAGTCCACGGGGCCCCATGGGCAGCTGCAGAAGGAGCTGCAACTGCGGAAGCTCCGAATGCCGAGGCGCACTGGGCACACTGATGGGAGTTGCACAGCTTGGGTTCATATACTTGGGAGTATTTATGATACAATACATGTATACTTGTGAATATATGTATACAAACAAGAGATTCTAAATGTGAGCACTTGCAAGGGCACAGACATATGTAAGTTCGTACACAGTGTTCGGTTGGCATATGGCTCAAGTACAAAAAACTAGCCGTTTTCCTTTTGTGGTATTTTCAGGTATTCTTGTAATAATCTTACTAGTAATATGATGTGGGATTGATTTAGCTGTGACGACATCACCACCACCACCACCACCATCATCATCATCATCATCCTCATCATCATCATCATCCAAACTATCCAGAATATGGTGTTCAAATGACTTAACTGTACTAGTCCGGATCCATGACATTAATTCATATTGTTGATCATATGGAGCGTTTCTAAAAAAGACGGTGCCCCCAAATCATCGGGTCGTCATGGATGACTATGACTTAGTATTGAAACCCATCATGGTGACTTGGGGATTACCCACTTTAGGAAACCCATACTTCTATTTTGAAAAATAACTATATATATATACACATATTATATACACTCTATATATATATATATATATGTACTGCCGGACAGTCACTTAGAAGAGTAAAGAATATTCCAAAATTGGAAACCCCACACTCAGAAGCTTGAAAATAATCCCACTCTTAGAACGTAACACTTAGAAACAACTTGGAAATCATCACATTTTTTGACCCCAAACTTAGAACATTATGAGGTATCTTCCAAATAATTCTCCAGCAATCTTCTAAGTGTGGTGGTGGTGGTTGTTTTTGGTGGTGGTGAACAGGTTTCGATTGCCAAATGGCACAGGTTGAAGCTGCAGCAGCTGAACCAGCAACCGAAGGGACAACTGCAACGACAGAACCTGCTACGAATGCCGAGGAGTCGGATGCTACGAAGAAATCCTGTGGAAGTGACTAATCTGAATGCTGATCTGGTTGGTATTTTTATGTTTTTTTTCCCCACCTGCCAGGTGAGGGTTGTTAGATTTTATGTCAGTTGCCTCCTCCTCCTCCTGCTCCTCCTCCTCCTCCTCCGCCTCCTCCTGCCTCGTCCTCCTCTCCTCCTCCTCCTCGTCCTCCTTGTCATCCTTGTCGTCCTTGTCGTCCTCGTCGTCCTCGTCGTCCTTGCCCAACTGCGACCCGCGATCCACAGTGTTCTCTGCCGGACCTCAACCACGACCACCCACGCCCAGTGTTCCCTGCCGGACCTCAACCACGACCATCCACGCCCAGTGTTCCCTGCCGGACCTCAACCACGACCATCCGCGCCCAGTGTTCCCTGCCGGACCTCAACCACGACCATCCGCGCCCAGTGTTCCCTGCCGGACCTCATGTAGGAAGATAAAATATCAGATAGAATGCCAGAAGATTTGCCAGGTAGAATGCCAGAAAATATGCCAGAAGATATGCCAGATAGATATGCCAGAAGATATGTCAGAAGATATGCCAGATAGAATGCCAGATAGAATGCCAGATAGAATGCCAGAAGATATGTCAGAATATATGCCAGAAGATATGCCAGATAGAATGCCAGATAGTATGCCAGAAGATTTGCCAGATAGAATGCCAGATAGAATGCCAGAAGATTTGCCAGATAGAATGCCAAAAAATATGCCAGAAGATATGCCAGATAGATATGCCAGAAGATATGCCAGAAGATATGCCAGAAGATATGTCAGAATATATGCCAGAAGGTATGTCAGATAGAATGCCAGAAGATATGTCAGAATATATGCCAGAAGATATGCCAGATAGAATGCCAGAAGATATGTCAGATAGAGTGCCAGAAGATATGCCAGATAGAATGCCAGAAGATTTGCCAGATAGAATGCCAGAAGATATGCCAGAAGATATGCAAAATCATATGCCAGAAGATATGCCAGATAGAATGCCAAATAGAATGTCAGAAGATATGTCAGATAGAATGCCAGAAGATTTGCCAGTAAGAAAATGTATAAATGTCATGGTGGGGATCACACGAAGTAAAGTAATTTTAATTTGAACATGTTGCCGCCAATCCCCACGTTCGCCCACATCCAAATAACGCACCCAGACAATCTCATACATATACTTGTCACCTGATGATGAACGAAAAACATGCTTGAACCATATTTGGGATGTTTTTTTAAAAGGGAGGTTGAAACCAGCAGCAACTGATGTCATTGTCATCACTGAATGCACAAGTGATGCTATGTAATGAGATTTGAATTCGGATCTGTTGATACGGTGGGTTGGAATTAAAATGCTGAGCAGAGGGTAATTTTTCGCTTCCATGCTTGTTTCAGGGAAAGTATGTCATTACCGACATGTCATGAAACTATACTGAACTTGCGTCCACAAATGTCCGTGGAGTTGATGATTTGATTGCAGAAAATTGCCCAGAGGGACATCAATGTGGTCTTTCACTTGCCCAGATCGCATCACAAGTATGTCAGTATGTCACAGTATGTCCATACAATACAATACTTAATACTCATAGATTTGCACCTGTAGTTTCAACATCGAATTTTCCGATACCTCAAGCACAAATACCCACATGTTGGATCAATATACCATGACTGTTGATGCTTGGCAGGACCCTGTCTCACCAAGCAATGCAGCGGGAGAAGCTGAAGCAGCCCATGCAAAGGAGGCAAGCCTGTGAATCGGGATGATCGATTTTGCAACGGGAAAGAAAAAAACATGATGTGGAGATAAGCTGAAACCTATTCGCATCAAGTTTTAGTATATTTTAGTGGGACCAGACCCATACCGCGGTCTTTCCCAGTATCCAAAGGAGCGATACAGTATTTGAGGAAAGTAGTCTGGTTTCTTGTGAAGCTTTAGTGCAAAATCAGCCAAGCGTGTCTGAATCATGACCTTCCGGTAATTCTTCTCCTATAATGGAGAAACTCCACAAAGCAAAGGATATGCTCAAGAGTTGTTGGGATGGAAAGAAACGGACTATGACCATGAATCATGACCTGTATGAGATGCTTCTCATGCCCCTTCAGCTGGGACTGGGACAAAGAATACCAGAGTGGGTACCAACAAGCTTTCTTCTCGAAACAAGCCTTTTTTGGGGTGTGTCCATTCGGAAGATATGCTCGCGGACTTCCTATACTTCATACCCCTCGTCAGATCCACGTTGAACACAACATGCAAAGCTTTGCCTTCGGGTAATCAAACGTGGACATGGAACATCCTTCCATGTACAGATGACAAATGATTTTCCTATTGAAAGCCCCATTGTTCGTGGATTTCTAAGTGCCGTGATTGGCATTTTGTAGCGGGTGATTTTTGGAACCCCGCTTGAAGCAGCCAGCTTTGCTTTGATCCTTCTAGA